TGTCCCTAAAGTTACCCATCTTGGGGCTATGCTTGGGTTTTATGAAGAACATTTACCAGAAGCCTCGTGGATGGAAATCTGTATCTCAGAGTCTCCACCCTGAGGAATGTGATCTAAGACAGTTTCACCAGTTTCAATCATTCGAGCAGTAGTGGCAACAATGGTCATTTTCATTCTCTGTTTTTTTTTTTTTAACCAGGGATTGAATCCAGGGATGCTTAACTACTGAGCCACATTTCCAGCCCTTTTTATTTTGAGACAGAGTCTCACCAAGTTGCTGAGGCTGACCTCAAACTTGAGATCCTCCTGCTTCAGCCCCCAAGTCACTGGGATTAAAGGCATGCGCCACCATACCTGTTTAACAATGGCCATGTTCTGAATGTCTGCCATGGTCAGAGCTCTTTTTAAATTGGTTCTTTTTAGATATACATGACAGTAGAGTGTATTTTGACCTATCACACACACGTGGAATATCACTTCCCTTTCTTGTGGTGGAGCATGATGTGGAGTTTCACTGGTCGCATATTTATATATGAACAGGGGAAAGTTCTGTCCAGTTCATTCTCCTGTCTTTCCTATTCCCATCCCTTCCGTTCCCTCCATTCCCCTTTGTCTAATCCAATGAACTTCTATTCTTTACCCCCCCCACCACAGCTCTTTACAAATAAACTAGATCCTTGATTCTTCCAAACACCCCACAGAGAGTGAGGAAACAGGTTTAGAGAGAGCTGAGGAGTGTCCAGGTTCACACATCTCAAGTGGACTTAGAGCTGGGTGGGATCCACCCATCTCCACATACACAGGTGTTTTCCGCTTGCTGCGGGTTGTCTAGGGTGCTGGCAATGCGCCATTCACTCTCTGAGCACCTCCCAGAGGCTGAGCATTAGACCTTGGGGTGCAGTGGTGAGGAGTACCTTCCCTCAGTTTGTAGAAGAGATGAACAAGCAAATGGACAATTTTAACAGCATGGTAAAAGGCTGTGAAAAATCACAGCTTGCTCTGGGAATTCCCAGGACTGGTGCCATACAGTCAGTCTGGGGAAATTGAAGGGTTGGAAGGGCATCCAAAAGGGGAGCCCTTCTGTCTACACTTGAAATACTTTGAGAAAGTTCTAGTGGTTTCCATAAGACATCTTTTCTTCCCAGTCCTCTTCAGCCTTTCCTCATTTAAATCTTGATTTTTTCTTATTTATTTATTCTAATTAGGTATATATGGCAGCAGAATGCATTTTGATTCATTGTACACAATTGGAGCACAACTTTTCTATGGTTGTACACGATGTAGGATCAAACCATATATGCAGTCATACATGTACCTAGGGAATGATGTCCATCTCATTCCATAATCTTTCCTGCCCCCATGTACCCTCTCCTCCCATCCCTTCTCTTTGCCCAAAGTTTGTCCGTTTTTCCCATGGCCCCTAGACTTGATTCTTGACTTTTCAACTTATCAATTGCTTCTCTGAATACTTGATTATAAATATCCCTTCTAAAATATGATGTGGGGATGTGGCTCAATGGTTAAGCATCCCTGGGTACCATAAAATAAAATAAGATAAAATATGGGACCCGGTCTAGCTTAAAACCCCAGGTATGGTCTGATCATGGCATGGACCATAACCTTCCCTGAAGGAGACCCCTTACTCCTATTAATACATCTACGCAGAATCTAGAGTTAGTGCAAACTCCTGAAGCTTTTGCACAGGAGATAGGTCTTCATTACACATTGCAATGTGTCCATCTTATTTTTTTTTAAGTTGATGATAGTCCTTTATTTTATTTCTTTTTTTTTTTTTTGCGGTACTGAGAATCAACCCAGTGCCTCATGCATGCCAGGCAAGTGTGCTACCACTGAGCCCCAGCCCCAGCCCCTCCATCTTATTTTTATGCAACTGAATTTCTAAGCCGAATGCCACATTTTACACAGATTTCTGCGAATCTTTGTGCTGGTTATTTTCTCCCCACCCTCCAGATCCATCTCCTCCACTCTTTGCATGTTCCGGGGCTTGGGAGGCTGATGTCTGTAGATTGTGTCACTGGACTCCATGGCTGCCTGGCTGCTTGCTGATTGTGACCCAAAGGAGGCACCCGCAGGGTGTAATGGGAGGGAGGAGTGGATTGGTGGTGACTGCATTTCTGTTTCTGTATGTATAGCTACTGCTACTGCCTGGGAGCTCCTCTTCCATGACCCTCTGGCTGAATTGTGGCAAAACCACTTGCTGCCCTTCCCCTTTCAGGCCAGGAGTGGTAATGGCCTCCCCACTGGTACCAGCCCCTGGGGGCTTAACCATTGCTTGTTAGCTTCCTCAACAGTGTCTCCGCCTTTGTAAACAGCGCTGTCCTTCAACTCTCTTCAATTAAACTTTCTGAGAGTGTGAGTGGTTCTTGCTGGGTCCCTGACAGATATAATTTAATTTTCTTGACTTCAGTTCATCATGCTAGTCCAGCAAAATCTTTTCAAGGCTTAGTTTTTCATCCGTCATAATAGCTTTTTTCCCCCCAGCTCCCGTCTTACCTGGAAACTTGCTAAACAAACCTTCTCTGCCATCTGAAGCCAGCCAAATCCTACAGTGCCCAAATGCATACGAGGGGATCTGGCTGGAAAAGCTCATGCATGCTCTGCCTGAGCAGGGATCCCCTGGATGAGCCAGATGCACTCCCTCCCCGACTTAGGAGTTTCCACTGGGAAGCAAGTTGGAGGATTGTTCACCTGGTGAGAGGAGAGGAAATAGAACGTGCAGAGCAAAGTGATTCTTGGAGAACAGTTGAGTAGTGTTGAATCCAGGGCACGATCAAGTGGAGACAGCGAACTCCTGGGAGAAGAGAGATGGTCTATATAGTAACGCTTATGGTAGTCTCGTTCTCTTCTTCTTCTGGTCCCCCTCACACAATGTACTCCCATGTGGCTGAATTCTGGTCAGTGGAATGTGGGTGGAGATTATACACATCATTTCTAGTCCTGGCTTGCAGAGATCTCACCCACAAAATTTTCCTCTCTACCCTTTTTCTGGGAGCCTTGGCAGTTCATAAATTAAAGATGGCAGCATCGTAAGATGGAATCCATATGGCCAAATGACTATGAGAGGGCAAAGCCACTTTTGCTCATTATACTGTGCCAGGATGTGAGCAAACAAGTTTATTGATGAAGGCACCAGATTTGGGGATTATTTGTTAGAGCAGTTAGCCTACCCTGACTAATAGAAGAATGGGTACCGGAAGTGGGATTCAAAACCACACAAGCATACAGTTATTCAGTCAGCTACAATTTAGCAAACCATGCTGCCAGCCAGCCCACTTTTGTCCATATTTTACATAAGGATAAGCTGTGAGATTTTATAAAATGCTTGCATAAATCAAGAATACTTATGTATATGACTTTTCTCAAATCCACTGGGGAACTTATTCTGAGTTATCATTAAAAAAGATAGAATACGTTTGGCCTGACTCGTACATAGTGAATCCAGGATGGTCTTTAGTGATCCTTCTTTTCTTCCTCTGCCCCACCTCTCTTCTTTCTTCCTTTTGCTAAGAGTTAAAAAAAAAAAAAAAACTCTTTAGTAGTCAATCTAAAGGGTTTTTTTTTCCCTAGGAAAACATTCTCAACTTTATGGTTCCATAATTCCTCAAAATCTACATTTCTCCTCTTTTTTTGAAAGCAAGACATTTATTCTCTTTCAGTAAATTTAGCTTCCATGCATGTAGGAAAATATGTATTTCTACCACTTCATAGAAAATGCCAGAACCTTATGATAGTTTGATTCTACTTACTCCCTCCTATCAGAACTTACATTTACCGAGTTATGTGCCAGCATTCCCAACAATGCAACCCTGTGACTCTGGTACTGTATTATGCCCATTCCATAGTTAGGAATACCGAGGTATACGAGTGAAGTAACCTCCCTGGGCACTTCCCAGCTTACAAAGGGCAAAGCTGGGATTCCCATTCCAGAGGTCTGCCCTCAGAGGTACCTCCTCCATATAATCGATGGTGTCGGCCACTGACAACACTTAGGCTATTGAGTTTGGTCTGATTGTGTTTTGTCTCCTTTTCCAAACAGAAGAGGCCCTGCAACCCAGCAGAATCCCACTAACAGGCTGGACAAGGAAGCCCAGGCCGCTGGGCAATTTAAGCCACCCCTTCCCCAGAATGGAAGAAGATATCCTTGGTTCTCCCACCATCGACGGAGCCCACCAAAGCCACCTTCTTGGACCCCACTCCATTGCCACCTGGTAACTTTCCTTGGAGCACTTGGGGGGCAAAGGAGAGGGAACATGCCTGCAATGTAATTAACACTATAACAACTTGTTTCCCCCTTGGAGAATTACACCATTAGCTGCTTCAATTGTGCATGAAATATAAATTACATTACTCGGAGGCATCATGTTGGAGCAGACGCGATGCTAAGTGACGAGACTCTCCACGGTGCGTCCCACTCCGCAGCCAGTGGGTCAGAAGGAACACAGACCTCGAGGCTGAAGGCACAAGATCAGCCTGTGGTCTCCTCGGCTGCTCCATCATGCACACTCTTCCCTGGGCAGTCCGGGCTGCAGCACCTAACACTTGTCCCACTTTTTAAAGGGTTTCAAGTCTTGGATTTCCCTCTTTTCATCCTTAGCTTCTACACAAGCCGAAAAATAGGGGCTACTTTCTTTCTTGATGGTGTGCGCATGCGCACATACCACTGTGTGTATGTGCGTGCTGAATGCATGCACGCGTGTGTATGCATGCATGCATGTGTGTGCATGCGTGCGTGTGCTGAAGGGGCCTGTCCATAGTATTAAGTGCCTGTCAGAGTGGTGGGAAGCGGGTGGGCAGACCCACTTGAGAAGGGAGGAAAGTAATCCTTCACCAGTCAGATCCAAACCGCTCCCTGGCGCTCATTCATCCTTCCATTCATTGATTCAGCTTGCTAAATGTGCTCCATCTTCTCATGACACCAGGATTTGGAAAGTTCCTTCACTGTCAGGAGAAGGTGTTCTGCCTTTTCAGAAGACACGCGGATTAATTTTGCATGTTTCCATTTGGAGAGGGAATAGGGACGCTGAGGACAATTCATAGTGACCGCCAATGTGCCTTTTAGGAAGCCACCACACCTCCAATCCAGGGGCCCTGTTCGCCATTCTTCTAACACCCCCCCCCTCCTGCCACCGCCTGATCCCATGGGAATACTGGAGAGGGCTGCCCCTGGGTGTCACTAGCAGATGCTGGGAAGGCTCTGAGCCAGCCCCTCTCACCAGAGCCCGTGTTAACGGGCAGGAAGTTTGGAAAGCGAGCCCGAAGCTGCAGGAGAAATTTGGGAAAATATCGTGCAATTACCCTAATGACAGCTGTACAAATCACACTACCACCCCTCGAATCCCCTGCTGCCAAGCAGAGCCAAAAACAGAAAGAGCCAAAAGCCACATATGGATTCAGGGAGACCTCTGGAAGCTGTCTCTGTAGAGAGCCTGGGCAGGGGGAGGGGCTGCCAAGGCTCCGGGGGCTCAGGTTCTGCTGTGCGGAAGGACCACCCCAAGGCTGCCCCCTGGCCGGAGCCCATTCAGACCAGACCCATCCCACTAGGAAGTCTGACCTTCTGCCTCCTCTCTGCCCGGGCTTCCTGCCTCACGCTCCAGCCCAGCCGCACCCAGTCCAGGAGACTCTTTGAACAAGAGCTCACGGGATAGGGTGACAGCTGTCAGCTGTTATTGTCCTGGCTGGGAAAACCTCCTCTATTCTGTAGATCCAAATATTTTCTTGGACTTTGATCAAGATCCAGATCGAGCCTGTCTTCCTTTTTCTCACAGAGCTGTCCTAGGCTCCCGCCCACACCCTGGGCACAGCCACCAAAAGCACTCGCTGTCGCTGTCGGCTGCCTCTCCATTCCCATTCCCACTCCCACAGGACCACCTGCTGCAAGGAATCACAAAACTGCCAGATGGGGGACAGGGAAGTGCTTCTGTTCCAGATGTCTCTCTCAGGCTGCACCCTAGGCACACAGTAGGTGTTTAATCATGGTTCGATGGAAGGATTGTTCCTCAACTGTGGGATTTCAGAAGCAAAGACTGTAGGTAGGTATTCGCTTGTTTTACAGATTGGGAAACTGAGTCTTGAGAGGCAACAGAGGTAGATAATAGGTCCCCTGCGTTTGCTAACCACCCTGCCAGCCATGGATCTGAGCATGTGGTCATTTCCGGTCCTATAGGGGAGTTATTGTTCAAAAAGAGGATGGAAGACAGCTTCCTCACTTTTGGGAATTGAGGAGATTCAGAGCTACAAAGAACTCCTAGGGAGCTCTGAACAATTTACTAAAAAGAAAAGATAAGAGGAGGAAGACTATGTATTAGACCAGAGCTGAAAGGACATTTCAGTCCTTATGGTCTAGTGAGGTATCTACAATGGTTAGGAATTTTCTCAAGGACCAGACAACTTCTAATATAACTCATGGCAACAATGGTTTTTATTTTGGGGAAGTTTCCTGGGGCAGACCTGGTGCCAAATCCTTTACCCACATTATCTCTGCAGCGGGAAAGGGTACTGGTTATGACTGTGGCCTTGGTGTCTGGACCATCCTGGGTTCCAGTCCCGACCCCCTCGTCTCTCACCTATGTGATCTTGGGAGAATTGCAGAACCTCTTTGTGCCTCCTGCTCTGTCTGGATGTAACCAGGACTTAGAAACTGCTTTTGCTAAAAACATCCAGTCTTCACTTGGGCCTGCGAATGTAAAAAGATTGGCATTTCTGCCTTCACTTTACATCTGTCTCCTTCGCTCGAAGTCAGTCACCTTGGATTCCAGGAATAACAGGTCTGAGTGATGAACATCTTGCGAGGAGTTGAAACTACCCAGCAGGCAACAGCAACACTCTTTTCTCAGCCAAGTCCCCACCTGACCAATCCTGAGATAATGATCAATTACACTACAGGTGGACTACAAATGCTTGACTGTATGCTCTGGTCCTTCTTATTTATATAATCTGGGATCCCATGTGAGTACCACTGAAGATAGGGCTGGAAACACTGTTCCCCTTGTCTTCCTGGCATAGCTATAATGATTGAAGTTCCTTTCTTGCTTTTCACCCTTACTTTTCTGGTTTATCTTCTTCCCTCCTTCCCTTCCTTCCTTCCATCCTCCCTCTTTCTTCTTTGGTACCAGGGATTGAACTCAGGGGCACTTAACTACTGAGCCACATCCCCAGCCCTTTTTGATTTTTTATTTAGAGACAGGGTCTTGCTGAGTTGATTAGGCCTTTCTAAGTTGCTGAGGCTGGCTTTGAACTCACAATCATCCTGCCTCAGCCTCCCAAGCTGCTGGGATTACAGGTGTTCACCACCACACCTGGCCTTCTGTTTGTTTTTTTTTTTTTTTGAGGCAAGTGGCTGGACCTGATTTGTTGGGAGCCCCTAGAGTTGGGCCTCTGGCAATATTTAGAATGAGGGTAGTAGCACTTCTTATGTCAGTGGGCTCTAGGGAGATTAAATGAATTCATATATGTAAACAGCATAGAACTCTGGTCCTCATGGTGTGGTTGTGGACCAGCTGCACCAGCATTCCCTTCGAGTGCATTCTCAGGCCCCACTCCAGACCTGCTGAGTGCAAATCTACATGTGTTCAAGACTCTCAAGGGGTTCATGTGCTGGTTGGAAGCACTGACTGGTTATTGTGCCTGGATCATAACCATGCTATTCTTCCCAGAGCTGCCCCGATGTTCCACTGAAGGCCTCCTCCTGGCTCTGGGAGCTGAGGCAGAGTCTAACCTCTGTATGTAGTTCCAAAACTTCTTTATCACCCCTAAGGGAAACCCCATACTCTTTTATCAGTCATTCTCTATTCCCTTCCCTCCCCCAGCCCACAGCAACCACAAATGAATGGACTTTATCTCTCTCTATATTTTGCCTCTTCTGGACATATTACATAAATGGAGTCATCTATGCCAGTTCCTCAGCATAACATTTTTGAGATTCATTTATGTTGTAGCATGTATCACAATTTTGATCCCTTTTATGGTTGAATAATATTCCACTGTATGTTTAGACAACATTTTGTTTATCTGGTTATCTGCTGATGGACATTTGGGCTGTTTCCACCTTTGGCTTTGTGAATAGAGCTACTATGAATATTTCTGTACATATATCTATATGAGTCCCTGATTTCCATTCTTTGGGGGTATATATCCAGGAGTGGAACTGAGGGATCCTATGTTTAACTCATTGAGGAACAAAATGTGCTTTTGAGTGCCCTTATGTCTCAGAACTGAAAAGACCCTTAAGATCCAGAGAAAAAACAACACAGCACCCTGATCTTGAGGGACCCCAGTCCAGGGAGTGAGTGGTGGACCTGCTTTTTGAGACCCAGGAATGCGCCACAGCCCTCTCGGGTGCCACCTCAAAATGGGGAGCCTTTATTTTGCTCCTTGCACCAGTAACCTCCTTTTAGGGAACAAGAGCAACATTTACCCTGGGAAGAAGCAATCCCAGAGTCTGTTGTTTATGAAGGAAACCAAAGGGGGACAAAAGAGCCAAGTGCAGAGCCCCAAGTGTGTTCTGGTGAAACCCCCTCTGCTTTCCGGAGGAACCCCTCAGTGGGGCAACTCCTTCTCCAGATAGTGCCAGGTCAGGTCGTGTTGAAGTGGCCCATATGGGCCGGCATGGAAGTGCTCAGCACAGGCCGACATACAACAGGGCTTCGGATGCCTGGGTGGTCACTATTCAGGGGCTTCCTGTGTATCTTGGGCTAATTACTGGCTTTCTGTGATTCCCCCGATTCTTTCTGCAGCTTCCTGAGTAGCACTGCCAGATGAAGGTTGTTATGGAGAGGAGGGCAGGGTGGGCCCCAGACACCCCCGCCCAGGCTGCAGCCGGGAGCAAGGCAGCAGCCCTCCCCCACCTCGTGGGAGGGGAATTTGGCTTTTGCAGAGCCTCTCAGGTTAGAAGGAAGCCAAGCCGGAGCTCGAGAAGTGCGAGCAGAGAGAGGAAGGAGGAGGAGAAGGAGGAGGAGAGAGCTTTTCCTGGAGCAAATAATGACCAGAAAGGCTACAAGTCAGGATGAGGGGCGGCAGGCAGGCAAGCAGATGCTGCCGCTCCGGTTATTGCATCTTGAACTAGGGGAGAGAGGAGGGTGAGAGGTCGGCAGAGGCCAGCCTCAAAGCAGCCTCGAATAATGTTCCCATTCCTAACCAGCTGCACAGGCGGATTTTTTTTTTCTGTCTCTCCACTGTAAATACTCCAGCCTTCACCTCCACCGCACACTGAACCCCAAAGTGGGGCCCTTATCTGCCCGCCCCTCCCACCAACCTGTCCCTGTTGCCATGGAAACTATCTCCGGGGTAAGGTGATCTCTCTCTACTTGCAACCTCCCTGCTTTCAGCACCAATCAATCAAACCCCCCAACCCCATCTCCAAGGGGGAGGTCCTAGGGGAGAGTAAGAAAGGAGAGAAATTAAACACAGGAAAAAGAACAACAACAGTAATGAAAAATGAACAAAGAAACGGGGTGATGTAATTCCGGCTGTTGATCAATTCCTTTTGTCCCTCCAGCCACCACACCCTTCCCAGGGGCTTAAGTCCTAGAGGAGGAAGGGACTCTCAGTGGGGGTTTTCCAGAGGTCCAGGCTGGAAGCAGAGCAGTATTTGTGGCCCTGGGGGCCTCCTAAGGTTTTACTCCTCCACTGTCCATGCCCCTCCTCGGAAGGAAGGTCACAAGAATGACAAATCATCATGGTCATGGGTAATTAGAGACAGGCTGGAGCTTACCTGCCAGAGTAAGCAAGGTCAAAACTGGGTTGACCATTGAGAATTTATTTCCTGTGGCAGATTGTATTTTGCACAAATAAATGGCTGAAACAATAGTTTTTGCCTTCCACGCTCTTCTGGAAACTTGTCTCAATCCCACGCATAGAGGGAGTTTGTGTCCCCTCCCTTTGGACCTAGACAGGACTTATGGTCGACTCTAGGAATGCAGTACAGGCAGAAGTGATGCTATGAGGTTAGGTCAAAAAGGGCAGCACAGTTTCTGCCTAGCTGTCTCCCAAGATGTAGTCCTCGGAGCCCAGTCGCCATGCTGTGAGGAAGCCCAGACCAGACACAGATGCTGACAGTAGCTCCACTGAGGTCCCAGCTGACAGCCATCAGCAGCCGGACATGCAAATGAGGGAACTTTGGGGATGATTCCAGCATCAGCCACCAGATGAAATCACAGAGAGAATCGCCTAGCTGAGCCCTGATAATAATAATTGATTATTCTGATTTACACCACTGCGTTTCAGGTGGCTGGTTTCATAGAAATAGAAAACTAGAAATGAAGTTAGACATTAGGAATCTGATGTTTTGGGTTCTATAGCAAGATTTGCTCCAAAAATACTCACTTTTGCCTCTCGACTCATCTGCCTATAAAAACGCAGAGGTAGGAAGCTGTTACTTTCTTATGACTTGTTTGACGGCAGTTTTCACACTAGGGTACACATGGCCATAATCAGGCACTACTCTGTAGAATGCTGTGAGGGATCTAGGTGAAAATTACTACCCAGATGACGATTTTGTGCTCCAAAAGAAGCAGCCATGCATTTCCAGTGGGTGCTGATCTTTGAACTCTCATCATGGATATTGGTCCTAATTATGCCAGCAGGTTCCCTATGGGTTGTTTATTCTTGGCTACTGTTCTCCCAACACCTCCTTC